GCAGTGCGGCCCACGGGTTGGACATCCCTGGTGTAGTCCAACAGACTAAGCTGTTCCGAGAAATCGTTCCGTGGGAATAGTTTCGAACTTAAATTAATTCCAATAGTTCCAGTTCCAGAAGCGAAACTGGATTTTTCTCACCTATAATCCAGACTTCGAACATTAAATTAGTATAGACCAGTGTTTTTCAACCTGTGGGTCGCGAAGCCGTACATGGGGGATCGCGGGTAAAACAAAAAGACAAGTGTTTGTAGGTCCTACACTACATTAAAGAAACTACAATTTCAGTGAGAAGGCTGTACCTGTTTATTTTACAGAACATTTGGTTTTTTGATCGATATTTAGGTCTGAACCATGGGTGTAGGCAGGGAGGGGCCTGGGCCAGAAAATCATAGCCGAAAAAGTGTTGATTTGATTTTCAAAAAGAAACAAAAAGTAGAAAAGTAGAAGATGAAAATCCTGATTCTAAAAAAAAAGGTCAACGGCTCCCTGTGCCCAATATTATAATTAAAGTTTAAAGCAATTTTCATACTTTGTCTGTGTGAAGTTATTGTCGATTCTTATGAAATCTCCAATTTAATCAACAATAATTTGTCTCAACAGAAAGAAAATTAAATACAGTGGAACCTCGGTATACGACCTTAATCCGTTCCTGGTGTTTGGACTTATACCGAATAGGACATATACCAAACCAACCTTTCCCATAAGAAGTAATGTAAAAATGATTAATTCGTTCTCATGTAAAAAAAAATGGCTGGTTTTAAACACCTCACTTTCCTGGCTAGTTTCTGCTTGATTTTTCATGAGATCAGCATGTATCTTTTTAGCTTTCTCGCAAATAATTGCTTCCGATACGCTGTCGCCAGCACACGTTTTTCAGTTATCCAAAGCAAAAGCAATTTCTCCACATGATCTAATGTCTTCGATCTCTGTTTAGAAATTGATTTAATCCCTTTCGCAACGTTAGTAAATTTAATAATGTCTTTATTTTTCAGGATTGTCGATATCGTCGTTCTCGGAATACGGAATGCTACAATTAAATCTCGAACACACGTGCCACCTTCATATTTCTCAACAATCTCTTTTTTCAGTTCCGTTCTGATTCTAGTCATTTTTTTATTTTTTCTGTTGCCCTTTTGCAATTCATGATTAATAAAAATAATAAAATGTTACTTACAAATTAAAATCAGAAGAAATTTAACAAAGTTATAAACCGTAGCACCGCGAACGTCTAGTCTAGTGTAGTACACCGATAGTTCTACTTGTTCATAGATGGCGCGTATAATTGAATTAAGTCGTATACCGAACAAAAGTCGTATACCGAGCAAAATTTGTTTCGTCCAAACAGGACGTATTNTGCTTAACTTTTCCGGAAACATTTAGTAGCGCCATCTGTTATATTTTATAAAAACACTTTCTTATATTTTTAAATATTATAAAATGACAAAAAGCTTAATTTTGAGGGTAGGGATGGGTTTTATAACAAATTGTAAATGCTAATAACTCGTTATTAGCATTTACAATTTGTTACAAATACGTGAGCCGTTCACAGCCCGGCACACGTATTTGTAAAATCTAAGTGACTCGTACAACATGGAATTCATATAAAACGGAATTATCAACAGTGTTATAAGGGGGTCAACTGTAAATGATCCATAATTTAATAAAACTAGAATGATGAAGTTAGATCTCATCAACTTTTTCAAAATCTGAATACGTATCCAATAATGGACAAATATTCAGTGGTTGGTACCTTCTACTTCCAACGATTTTAATTTCGAACGTTCCAGAATTACAGGTGAATAGTTCCGCTTAGGACTCGAAACTACTAGAAACAGTTCCACATCGGCAGTTCCAGTTCCAGAACTACCAACGCATGTTTTATTTTGAACTCTTATGAATACGGCTTTTAACGGAACAAGAAATTAGTTTTGTGGTATTTTAAATTTATAAATATATTTTAAAAATTTATACTTTTATTATACTTCTTAATTATTCGTTTTTATTAGTAAACTAGCAGATATTTGAGGCAGTGTTCGGCCAAAATAATAGTAGGATAAACGGTTAAAATAAAACTATATATTGTATATATAAAACCGATGAGAAACCGTCGAGTCCAACAGCAATTCTGACATAACATAATGATTTTGTCTAGTCCAAAAGTCTAAACAATTCCGAGAAACCGTTCAGTCTGAATAGTTTCCTACTTGGATCAATTCCAACAGTTCCAGTTCCAGAGGCGGAACTAGATTTTTCCAATCTCTAATCCAGAGTGCGTATATTATACTAATATAAACTAGTATGATTTAAATAAGTTCAATATTGTGTTATTTAAGAATTTAAATTTCTGTCAAAGAAAAAAATAATAATAATTAAAATTAAAATGACGGACATAATGACGAGCAGACATTTTGCAAAACGTACCTTTTTTTAACTGAAAGAGTAATAATTTTTAAATGAAATGAAAAATAACGTTAAAAATCGATATCTCGGGAACGAATGGACGGAACTCGATGAATTTCGATACGTAGGCTGGAAAAAAATATCAAATGATAACGATACTCATATTTTGTCCGGAAGACGCGTATATCTTTAGTTTTTTAATAAAATGTGAATTCGGATAGACAAAAAAGTGTTCTAATTCTAGTATAGTAAGGTTCTCTTTGTTAAGCCGTTCGTTAGTTCGTTCTCTCGCTTACTTGACGGCTTGCTTCTACAAAGGCTTATGATACTTTAAATTATAAATTTTATTTGAAATATATGCGATGTAAAAAAAATATTTAAAACATTCTTACCTTTTTTAATTTCTCATTCTGACGTTTCTCACATTCCTCATTCTTGTAAGTGTTAACTTTCTAAAAATTTAAATAAACAGAATTATTTTTAAAAATTATTTTTTGTTTATAATTATAATAATGGAATTTATTAATATTTACACCATTCATATAAGTGAAAATAATTTTGTTTAGGATTTCTCATTTCCTAGTCCTTTGCTTATCTCGGAATTTCGAGAAAAAAGTGATCTGTTTTCCGAGATTCCGGGAAATCCCGGGATATAATTAATTATTTTTAAAATATAAAATAAATCTCGAAATCAAATGATATAATTATTTTTCATTTTTAAGTAATTTAATACGTCTTGCAATCTCCAAAATAATAATATTAATAATGCTGTGTAAAAAAATGTATTAAAAATTATCTTTGAATTACGTAAAAATTTTCACAAATAGAAAAATTTATTAAAGTTTGTCGGAAACTGCTTACAACAAAAAAATCCTTTGAATTGAGTTAGAAAATTTAAAAAAAAAAAAAGAACTTAGATCAAACTTTTAACTTAGAAGGTTTTTTTAAAATAAAACTGTCAGGCCCAAGCGATACTCGAGCTCACGTGTTAAAAATTTAATATACTGTGTAAATGTCAAATCAGGGAATCGGGCTTTGATTCTGGAGCTCGTAAAAGAAAAGCCGAGGAAAAACAAAACACAAAACAAAATGCAAATAAAATCGGAAAAGAATAAAATTATTAGTTACAAGAAAGGGTTTTAAATAACCTTAAAAGGAGATCTAGCGCGGAGATTATGTGTCAGACTTACAAGAATTCGAAACAATAGTTAAATACGAGCATGAGTTTCAAAGTGCAATTAATTTCCCTTGATCGAATAAAATGCGGTATCGAATTTGACCTTTCATAGCCCAAAATGGTCTGTTATCCACCTGGATTTTTAAAAAACTTTTTCCGCCCTGAGGGCCACTTTTTGCAAGACCATTATGGGTTCGTCCAGGCCCACAATGAGGTGGCGGAGTGGTGAGAGACGAACCACCCCCGAAAAATTCCTGGGGATTATTTTACCCGTCCGAATTGGATCCTGCGTCCCCAAAGCGGTAGGTTGCCACTTTGACCGCTCGGCCATTCGGCCGTCTCTCTACCTGGATACAAGAAACCGACTAATCGGAAAGCTAGAGATTCGGGGAAAGAACCCTTTAAAAGCCTGGATCTCAAGGACAAAGAAGACTTTCCTCTGCCTCCTGTTATAAAGTCATCTGTCTAGTCTTCAGTGCTATACGGACTCTTCATCCCTCACCTCACCTTTCTGCCTTAGACTGTTTTGGGTTTCAACACTTCGTCACCGGACTTTTTGACCTTCACAGAAGCATCTTGCCCGACCGCCCCAGAGCCATCGACTCTACGGACCAGCACCAACAGTCGACGAGACGATCTATAGAATGTGAGATTTAGCATAAATAAACGGGTTTATTTGTAACTGCAGCTGTCTGCCGCGCTTCCATTCACCCCACATCCGATAAATCCTAACATTTGTTTATTCCCAATTTGGCGACCTCACAAAATTTTTATATAAATTTTTATATAAATTTTGTGAGGTAAATTTTTATAATAAGATTTTAAAAAGCAAAGATGATAAATAGGCCTACTCCGATCACTCAATCTGGTTCTTATTTTAGTAAAGAACAGTNCAGAGTGCGTATATTATACTAATATAAACTAGTATGATTTAAATAAGTTCAATATTGTGTTATTTAAGAATTTAAATTTCTGTCAAAGAAAAAAATAATAATAATTAAAATTAAAATGACGGACATAATGACGAGCAGACATTTTGCAAAACGTACCTTTTTTTAACTGAAAGAGTAATAATTTTTAAATGAAATGAAAAATAACGTTAAAAATCGATATCTCGGGAACGAATGGACGGAACTCGATGAATTTCGATACGTAGGCTGGAAAAAAATATCAAATGATAACGATACTCATATTTTGTCCGGAAGACGCGTATATCTTTAGTTTTTTAATAAAATGTGAATTCGGATAGACAAAAAAGTGTTCTAATTCTAGTATAGTAAGGTTCTCTTTGTTAAGCCGTTCGTTAGTTCGTTCTCTCGCTTACTTGACGGCTTGCTTCTACAGAGGCTTATGATACTTTAAATTATAAATTTTATTTGAAATATATGCGATGTAAAAAAAATATTTAAAACATTCTTACCTTTTTTAATTTCTCATTCTGACGTTTCTCACATTCCTCATTCTTGTAAGTGTTAACTTTCTAAAAATTTAAATAAACAGAATTATTTTTAAAAATTATTTTTTGTTTATAATTATAATAATGGAATTTATTAATATTTACACCATTCATATAAGTGAAAATAATTTTGTTTAGGATTTCTCATTTCCTAGTCCTTTGCTTATCTCGGAATTTCGAGAAAAAAGTGATCTGTTTTCCGAGATTCCGGGAAATCCCGGGATATAATTAATTATTTTTAAAATATAAAATAAATCTCGAAATCAAATGATATAATTATTTTTCATTTTTAAGTAATTTAATACGTCTTGCAATCTCCAAAATAATAATATTAATAATGCTGTGTAAAAAAATGTATTAAAAATTATCTTTGAATTACGTAAAAATTTTCACAAATAGAAAAATTTATTAAAGTTTGTCGGAAACTGCTTACAACAAAAAAATCCTTTGAATTGAGTTAGAAAATTTAAAAAAAAAAAAAGAACTTAGATCAAACTTTTAACTTAGAAGGTTTTTTTAAAATAAAACTGTCAGGCCCAAGCGATACTCGAGCTCACGTGTTAAAAATTTAATATACTGTGTAAATGTCAAATCAGGGAATCGGGCTTTGATTCTGGAGCTCGTAAAAGAAAAGCCGAGGAAAAACAAAACACAAAACAAAATGCAAATAAAATCGGAAAAGAATAAAATTATTAGTTACAAGAAAGGGTTTTAAATAACCTTAAAAGGAGATCTAGCGCGGAGATTATGTGTCAGACTTACAAGAATTCGAAACAATAGTTAAATACGAGCATGAGTTTCAAAGTGCAATTAATTTCCCTTGATCGAATAAAATGCGGTATCGAATTTGACCTTTCATAGCCCAAAATGGTCTGTTATCCACCTGGATTTTTAAAAAACTTTTTCCGCCCTGAGGGCCACTTTTTGCAAGACCATTATGGGTTCGTCCAGGCCCACAATGAGGTGGCGGAGTGGTGAGAGACGAACCACCCCCGAAAAATTCCTGGGGATTATTTTACCCGTCCGAATTGGATCCTGCGTCCCCAAAGCGGTAGGTTGCCACTTTGACCGCTCGGCCATTCGGCCGTCTCTCTACCTGGATACAAGAAACCGACTAATCGGAAAGCTAGAGATTCGGGGAAAGAACCCTTTAAAAGCCTGGATCTCAAGGACAAAGAAGACTTTCCTCTGCCTCCTGTTATAAAGTCATCTGTCTAGTCTTCAGTGCTATACGGACTCTTCATCCCTCACCTCACCCTTCTGCCTTAGACTGTTTTGGGTTTCAACACTTCGTCACCGGACTTTTTGACCTTCACAGAAGCATCTTGCCCGACCGCCCCAGAGCCATCGACTCTACGGACCAGCACCAACAGTCGACGAGACGATCTATAGAATGTGAGATTTAGCATAAATAAACGGGTTTATTTGTAACTGCAGCTGTCTGCCGCGCTTCCATTCACCCCACATCCGATAAATCCTAACATTTGTTTATTCCCAATTTGGCGACCTCACAAAATTTTTATATAAATTTTGTGAGGTAAATTTTTATAATAAGATTTTAAAAAGCAAAGATGATAAATAGGCCTACTCCGATCACTCAATCTGGTTCTTATTTTAGTAAAGAACAGTCCTGCTATCGAGAATGCTTTTTCTGATTCAATTGATGTGGGTGGAGTCATCTTTAATTCATTTAAGGGAAGACAGATGTTATGTGTTTTTTACCTGTAGCCTCGAAAATTTCTAGTTTGTTTTCGAGATTCGTTGCAGTATTTATTTTGCTTTCTAGTATTCTTGATTTGTTTACCTCGGCTGCTTTAATAGCGGCATCAAGCTTACAGCTCGATAATTCGGCAATTCATTTGGCTTTAATAATCAAGTTTACGAAGAAAAACTTCATACTTGTTTGTATTCTTGCCCAATTTGCACAACCTTGCATAATGCAGTTATCGAAGCTACTAGGAATGGTTAAAAATTAAGACAGCATCGGAGTAATTATTAAAGATATTACAGGTTCTGACAAGTAAAGAATTTTCAGTCCTGCCGTAAATAAGCTGCATATTGATTATTGACAATCTATGACATGTCATAACAAACAAACATTTAATGAACTAATAAGCAACCTTAAAATTATTAAATACAAATGTATTCTGACAGTTTGTGAGTTAATTATACTTTCTATTTGCAAAATTTCCTCAACTTTAACACAAAATAAGAAAAACGTGAACATTTAAAAAATTTGCGGGATTTCTCGGGTTAAGGGATCCCTTTAGAGAAACCCTAATTTTGTTCAAATCCATTATAAAATCCTATATTGTTGAATCCGATTATTCGAAGTTGAATAATTCGATTTATTGAACCTGGCGTTATTCTCGTTGTAAATCATATTTCAATTAGTATTGAAAAAATAAAATTAATTCTAATATTTTTAAACGTAAATTTGGATAATTTATAGTTCGTACTCGTATATTTTGAAAATAAAACTAGTAAAGCTAAAATAATGAACAGAAAATGTTTTTGTTTTGTGGATTTTCATGTTCTGTAAACGCATGAATTTTTAGGGGGAATTGTCACGTTTCACAGTTGTGTAGTTGTGTGAAGTCGGCGTGTAGCTGTTAAGACAGAGTATGCGTCAGCAGTAAAATATATTAGGCCTTCTGGACGATGATGGGAATGATCATTACATTTTTATTTATTTATTTAATTCAATTTCATTTTATATACACATTGCAATTTTGCCATTTCTTTTTGCTGTTGGATAAACCATATAGCAAACACAATCTATTTAAACATAAAATTCCAATTTCAGCATTCTGTGAGAAAGTAGAGATTGAAGACTTCAGAAGAATAGAGATTTCAAGGAATTCGAGAAGAGTAGCTAATATTTCTACAAATTCAGTAGCCTATACTGTCCGTCGGAACCGTTCAAAAGGAATACTTTGGCTGAACGTTAGGACATCTTTAAAAAGTGTCAATGAAGGAAGTTTGAGGCACAACGTAAAGATCAAACCTCTTCTTCTGTGACGATTCTTATTTTTCTGATTTACTATCATGGTGACTTTGCTTCATCCCATTGATGACACCATTACCATGGTGACATTACCATGGTGACATTGCTTGCACCTAACTTCCTGCAGTTGTAGTCTGTGTAATGTGTACTTTATTCACATGTTGAGTCTTACTGCCTGGTTGCACTATTCTTATGCCACAACTTCCAAGTTTCTTTTATTTAGATGTTTTTGCTGAGCTCTACTTTTTCAACCTGGTTTCACTAGTTTTTTATGGGATATTATTAATGGCTTCTTTTTCCAAGTAATTTATAAAAATGATTCAGTTCAACGAGAATTAGTATACAATGAGTAGTGAGTAATATATAAAAAATTTAACGAAACAAACGTTACTACAATAATATAATTCCTTGGTACGTTCTTCCGTAATTTTTACGATTAAAAAAATATAAATCAAAAAACATTTTTTAAGTCATCTCATTCAATATACTACAACTGATAAGACCCAAAATTTAATTTCTTTGTATAACAAAGCATCAAATTTCCTTTCAGATTTAAGTTGTCATACATCCAAAGAAAGATTTAAAATTTCACAAAGGTTTAATTTTGTGATAATTAAAAAATGCAAACATTTATTTTCTATGCGTGTAACTTACGTTCATTGTACGTTTTACGTTTGCACCTAACGAATGAGTATAAATCAGAACGATTAAAAAAGATACGTAAAACCGTGTAGACTATATACTGTAAGGTCTCGTTTTATGCCATACCCGAAAGCCTGATGTCATCCAGGCTTTCGGGTTAGCCATCCAATGCACTGGCAGTTGTTTTAAATTTTTGCCTTTTAGAGCACGTGGTCTAAGATATCGATTTATTATGAGCGGTTTCAACATCCGATCTCCTGATGCATTGCTGCAAAGTAATAATGTTACTCGATCTTTACTTGCTTTATGTCCACTTGCAGTTTTTTCATCTTTTGCGAGGTAAGTACAGTTAGGCATTTTTTTCCAATACAGTCCTGCCTCATCAGCGTTAAACACTTGATCGGCACAATAGCCCCCATCTTCAAGAATTTTCGCTAGCTCCTGTGGAAATTTTTTTGCTGCTCCTTCATCTGCTGACGCAGCCTCTCCTGTAATCTTGATATTATGAAGTGCATTTCTTTTTAAAAACTCGGTTAGTTATCCTTTGCTAGCTGAAAATTCTTTACCAGCCTGGGAAGTGGAAGTTGATGGCTCTGACTGTTTCATTGACTCATAAAACAGAAGAGCTTTTTCCTGGATTAAATAACCACTTTCAGGAATTTTTCTTTGAATTAGTTCCCCAATCCAAATTGCGAGAGCTCTTTCTGTTCTTTCTAATAATACATCCCTTGAGTAAGATGATAATTTGGCGCTTAATTTTGTACCAGAAATGACAGATTTTCTTATTGCGACTTCATTCTTCTTAATTACTCTTACAGTAGATTCGCCTAAATTAAAATGTTTTCCAATCGCCGTAGATCATTCTCCTTTTGCTAAGCGATCTAAAATTGCAATTTTCGTTTCCAACGAAATTGATTGTCTTTGATGTTTTTTTTTTTTTTTCCTCCATTGGGCCAAATAAAATCTTAGAAAAGAAATTAGAAAAATTTAGACATACGATATTGAGAAGGCAAAAACTTTTAATGAAAAATAAAACTTTACGACACTCACTTTATACGTTTCAATCCAGAAATCAAAATGTGCTGCTTATTACTGCAACTTGAAATCAGCAAAACTTAAACTGGCTACTTATTATAAAAATGAACAAAACACCGCTAAAATAAAATTTAATTTCAAAACAATTACAGTTTATACCTTTCAATGCGAAACTCAGAATGATGTAATAGCGACTTGTCGATGGTAAGTATCATGTACAAGGGGAATCCCCGAATTGCAAAAGCTCACTCTAAAAACAAATCACTGACATCTGGATGTGAAGAGTTAATTAAAACACCTTTAGTTCCTCGCCCGAGTTAACTCGGGCAGGTTACATAGAGTTACATAAAACACGGTCCTTTTTGAATTTTTGCTAACTGACGAAAACAAGTACAAAATTATCTTCGATATGACAAACACTAAAAGTAAAAGCTCAAAATGGATCATCCACACTGATGGCTCCAAGACAACTACTGGAGTTGGGGCAGGCATTATCATCACAAACAAGAAAGGTAAACATGTCTATCAGGCGAGCCTAAAAATTGCTCCTCACTGCACCATAACCCAAGCTGAGTTGTGGGCTGTCAACAGGTCATTAGCCTACATTGAAACTAATATGAACAACTCCAAAGAAACAATAGAAGTAAATGTAGACAGTAGGGTGGTGTTACATACTCTAAAAAACCAGATAAAAAACTCAACATTAGCTAAGGAGACAATACAGCTAGCCCAAAGTATAGCAGGCACAAATAACTTAATTATTCAATGGATCAAAGCTCATGGGGGTCATGAGGGAAATGAAAGGACCGACAAACTAGCGAAAAAAGCTGCAACTACCGATTCCAAAATTACGTATAGTAGGGTTCCTAAGACTGAAATACACAATCACCTTCATGAAATTGTCGATGAACTGTGGCAAAGGGAGTGGGAGATCTCCAACACTGGGAGAAGCTGTTACAACTTCATCCCAAGGATACAGGATAGGAAAAAAATAAGACATTTAAACCAGGCTATGAAATCACCCAGTGCTTCACTGGGCATGGAAACTTTGGGTCATACCTTTTCAGATTTGGTAAGGCAACAACAAACACATGCGAGACCGACAACATTGAAGACAACGTAACACATTTCCTATACTACTGCACTAACTACGAGGATAAACGGCAGCAGCTTTACAGAGAATGCATAATGCAGGGAATGACTTGGCCTCCACAGGAAAAAGACATATTCAACAACAAAAACCTCTTGCGTCATCTCACCAAATTCATCAAAAACACCAGGAAACTAGCAATCCCATCGCAAAGCAGTGAACAATCTCAGACCAGAAATAGCCTACCTGTTCTTGAGGACAATACAAGTGAGGACATCAGTGATGAAAGTTTCGCCAATAGCGAAGAGGATCTCTGAAATGAACTGACCACCATGTAATTAATGTTTCTCTGTTAGGCATTGTAGCCACTTGTTTACATCTTCGTAATGCAATTGCCCATTTTGTATTGCCCACATTGTATCAATAATTACCCACTGTGGCCTTTTTGCCTTCAACTTTGAAAAATTCTAAATTTTTTAAAGAAATTGTAACCTTAGTAACCTTTTGTTTTAATACTTGTATTTAAAACATAAATCGATAATTAAGGTTAATACTTTATCTTTTGGCCATGTAACCACGTTTGCTGTTTTCTGTAAACTAAAAAAAAATTCTTTTTTGTTTATTCTGTAATCTGATTGTTGTATAGACGATTGTAACCATTTGTTCCTATAAATGTATCAGGATCAATTACTATGTAAATACTGTAATCTGTATTAGGCAATGTTAGCCAATTTTTATATCTATTTCTGTTTTTTTAATAAATGCGGTGCCGCGGCCCATGGATCCCCACCCTTGCCTTCCTTCCCCTCCTTTTTTTAATCTAGTTACTTTCACTTTTCTTCTCACTTCTTTTCCTTACTATAGGGCTAAGTTTGTCTTGAACAGACAGCCCTCTACTTAACTTTATACTTATTTTATCTTATCTTCCCTTTGCTACTCTTTTACTTGCAAATATAGTAGGAGTTTCTTGTATTTAAATGTCAGGTAATCGTTGATAAAAATTTTCTTATTCCAAATCCAGAACAAATATTTTTCGAATTTATATATTTAAGTTTTAAAATTTATCCATAATATCATCTTTAACAAATATAATTTTTAACGAATCACTATTGGCGTTAATAGGCTGCAATGTTCAAAAATTGTAGACCTATAAATTCTGACTGTCTTCAGTTGTCTATTTGTCTGCCCTTAATCTTGAGAACGAAGTTAGATAGATCGCGACCAGATATGGTAAGCTTAGAGGCAGGATGCCCCGATTAACTGTATACGAACTTCCGGTGCAAACCGAAAGTTCGTATACAGTTAATCGGTTACTTCACGTTACTTCAAAAAGTTTTCTCCTGAACAGAGTTAAATAATCAGCATGACTTTACTGTTAACAGGAAAGTATGATGTACATGAGCAAGATGCTTCTAGAATTGTGAGGAAAATTTGCAGTCCAGCATTGTGAAGATGTCACAATAAATAATTGCTCGTTTTATTTGTTTATTTTGTACGAACTATATCAATTTCAATTTAACAGTAACAGATCAATTATCAGGCAAGCTTGGGGCCAGAAGAGGTCCTGATTTTCCGGTTTTATGGACTCAGGCTGAATATATAATTAAATTATAAAATAAACAATGGAAAGTAAATAATCAAATTATATTTTACACACTGTATTTCAGCAGTCACACTTTCTCTAGCACATTCTTTCGGTTCGTTAATCATCTAGGAATTTTTAAAATCGTAGAAAATTAACAAACTCAATTTTCTAAATTCCGAAGCTTGCGTTAATAGAATTAAACAGAATTCTAATGCAAAAATCTGTTTCTTTCTATCTGCTTCCGTTTTCTGGAAAAGATTTTCCCATAGAAAAAGCATTACATTTTTAACGCCATCTGCTAGAGATCATACGCATAACAAAATAAATTGCAATCAACCGTACACGTATTATGCGTTGAAACTGCTCATTAGTGTGGTATTATTCACATGTATAGTGTTAGTAGGATCAAATTTGTGTGCATTAAACCTAACAATTGCATTTCTATTAGTTTTAATAGTAAAATTTAAAATTTCTGACTTCTTAGAACGTAATCCTTGTGTAATTTCAAAACCTACTCTGGTTATAAACCAGTTTATTCATTTGATATTTCTCATAATGAATCTTGCTAGGAATCTTGCTTTTGTATTTTTCAGAAATGAGTGAAAAATAATTTCCTTTACTCATTGATATTGAATCAGTTTCTGTTACAATCATAATATTCTCAAATTAGTTGAACTCATAATTTTCACAGAAAGTTCGTAATATGATATTGTTCTGTATTCTCATCCAAATTAATCGATTTCATTGCTGGTGAGGACCGCCAGTAAAATTAATAAATAGCAATTGATCGAGTTATATCTGATAGAAACTCTCTTAAATACTTAAAAACTTATTTCTGACAAAATTATCACATCATTTTAATACGCCCAAAACTGATTCCGTGTTTCCAACTTGCATCCAAATCATATCAAATAATATAATTGATTAAAAACAACTTACCTTTATCACATTTTTTGCAACCGAAGACTTTACGTCTTCCAACCTAATATCCTGTAAAATTAAATCAATTTTAGTCTGTTTTGTTGTAAGCTGAAATATATAAAATTTACTTACTTTACTCTTGTTACGCTGTTTTTCTAAGTCATTTCTTATATCATTCTTCATCTAAAATTTAAAATTATAAATTTTATAAAATTTACATTTAAAATCGAACTTTTACTTTTCCAGCTATTGTGTATACAGTACATAACAGAGAGAGTATTGGAATCATGTCAAATTTGACTCTCAGAATTTTTTGCAAATCTTCACGTTTTGAGACCTCCTGAACCCAAAAAATTAAAAAAATCTTCCAACAAGTTGCGAAACTCTCCCGGCTGTTATGAGATTTTATTTAAAAAATAACTTTTATATCATTAATTATAATAAATAAAATTGTGTATGAAGCCATCTGTTATGAGAGTTTGTTATAAAACTTTCTATACTTTTAATTATTATAAATTGACAAAACGCTTAATTTTGAGGATAAAGGTGAGTTTTGTAAAAAGAAAAAAAAACAACAACTATAAATGCTAACAACGAGTAAAATCTCTGTTAAGTCCTAATCCACTCGAGATATGGCACATGACCACCCTCTCCATCCTCTCGACCTTTCACTACCAAAATTTAATAGCATTAGTGCCCTTATACACAAGCTATCATGCAAAGCTACCATTCGTTTTTTAATCTTTACCAGTGGTGTGCCGTCATTGAAAGCGGTGGATGCGCCGCTTCCCTTGTATTTTCTAAAAAATAAATACATATTAATTTTAATTATATGAAAATAATCGCACAATATTTTATTATAACCGCATTATGTATCTTATTACAAATTCCTATACTACACGTGAAAAAAAAGATAAGATTGCTATTGTATATTCGAATATTAGTGGCGGAGTGGAGCGCTGTATTGTCAGCATCCAAAACGCCAGATTCGCGCATGTGCTTTACAGAGCACCAACCTCACCCGGTTTAGCTGGTGGAAGCCTACGATCCTGGGTGGATGCTACACATATAACGCATCCAATTCTATCCAGGACTGGTTCTGGGCTGTTAGCCGCCCGCCTGCTAGATATTTGGCCATCCTCGCCCAATTACGTGAATCACGAGTAGATTTATAACTTAACCCAACCGATAGAAATTTACTGGTATGTTTTTATGATAGTTCTGTATAGTTGACAAGAGTTTTAAAAAAATCCATTAAAATACAGTAGAACCTCGATTATCCGGACCTCTATTATCCGGATTTTCGATTATCTGGATTGTTCAAAATAAACAAAAATTTTACGAATTTGCTGATTTGCACTTGGTGAATTACGACACTGTTTATGTACGTGATGGAATGTATAACTTTTTTTGTTTCAACGTCTCACCCAGCATAGTGGTCGTAAACTCTTAAATATATTTTACGTCGTAATAAAAATATAACTTGACATACGTATTTATAAATAATTTATATTCAAATTACATCATTTCCATGACCAAGGGCGGCGTAAGGCATGGGCGACGTGGGCCACCGTCTATGCCTCATGGTCCGAAGGACCTCGCGCCTCGAAAGTTTATGCATTATTTAAAAGCCGCGAACGCGACGAAGAAATTTTACTCGTCATAAAACGATAAATAGTTTCTCAAAGTTTTATTCATAAAAATGCAGTTTTAACTGCTTTTTATTTTATATAATCCGTCTTCTTGCGTCACCAGAGGACCTTTTAAACAATAGGTAGTCTGTTAGCGCTGGTCAGTAGTAGTCCAAATTCAATACGTACGTTTGTTTCTTAAATATTTGATCACGATTTAAGTACAGTATTTATTTTTAATATTACCGATATGTCATCGAAAAGAAAACGTGTTGTATTATTATTAAAAGACAAATTAAAGTATTTGTTTCGATTATCTGAATTTTTCCTTATCCGAACTACCTGCATCCCCAATTAGTCCGCATAATCGAGGTTCTACTGTATTTGATATATTTATTCTGCTTTTATTCCGCTCTCCCATCTTATATTACTTACGGATTTCAATGTTAAAGCAGTGATAGTACGATTTTTTATGTTCCATCTTTAAGGGGATGTACAAAAAAACGTGTACAATTCTTGTATAGTGTTAAAAAAATTAACTGTTACTTTGGTAGCATCAACAATTTGCAACAAAATCAACCATTTACAACAAAATGTAATGAATGAGAGAGATGCACGAGGTACAGAAAAAGCTCTAGAATTTATTTTCCTTAAATTTACGATATTTATGTATCCGTTGTCATAAAAATTTGTCTTTCCACTTTTTTCCCGAGACTACAAATATTCGAGTACAAAGTAACTGGTTTCGACTTATTTCTACTTAAGAAGTAGTTAAATAATTAAGAGATTAGGGAATTGGGGACATAAATAAAACTGTGATAAAAGAGCCGGAATATTACTTAAAAGCTTAACCGACCCAATCTCTGGCCGAATACAGTGGGGACTGGTTTCTTAGTAATATTAGACATAATATAAACAGAAATTTTTCCAATTCAACGAGAGTGACCGGAAAGTTGTAAGTTTTGGAAATTTCCGTGGACACCTGGTCTTAAAACGAATTTCTTAGAAAACAAATGACTTTTAAGTTTAACAAATTTAGATTTTTACAGCTATGAAACGTTTAAAATTTACAACAACCCTGTCGCGTCCTTTGAGATATATAGTAATGCGACAAAAGAGGCATTTGACATTAACCGGTATCGGCACCCTCGGGATTTGGCAAGCCGCATTCACGCACGCACCACACACCTAGCAGGACCGTCTCTGATTCCACTCGTAGGGAACTATTTGACTAAGTGGTTAAGATTTAAAAATTAAAGAATATTTTATGTTATTTTTATGTACGTTTCTTTACAAAGCTATGTTTAATTATAATTTTCTTTAAAAGTATATTCATACAATTGAAGAATATTTTGTACCAGGCATGTATATCCACCACACATTTTATTTCACCAAGTAAGTTTTTATAATTTTATTTTTAATTTTAGCCCTTATATCGTGGCTAGCGATTCGGAATGTAATTGCGATATTGAAAATTTATTTTTAAAAAGTTTTGGCTCGAGATCATATAATGAAAAAGAAAACATTATTAAAAGAGAACGGCCAATGCCTAAGTTAAATATAAACGCTTCAATAAAAAAATTTGTTCGACATTTTCACGATAAAATGGCTCTGTAGATGCATAAAAATGCAAAAATTGTTTTGTTGGCTTGCCTACTATTTTCAAATGAAATTAGTGTGTGGAATAAGAATGGCTTTGACGATTTAGCTGGCAAAAGACACAAAAAATCGTCGATTCTTTCGTATTTGAAGCGATTTGGAAATCAAAGCGGAATAGAATTTAACATTAGTAAGAAATATAAAATAAATATTGAAAATTATAACGAGATAGTTACGGCTAATAGATATATTTAAATTAATAGATGTTATATGTTTTTATCAAAGCGAGAATCGGCATTTAGAGGACATAGGGAATCTATTGAATCTAATAACGGAGGTAATTTTATTGAACTTGTTTATTTATTAATTACGTCAGATAAATAATCTATTAAAAATACATTTAAAGAATTAACTGATTGCCCCAGGAAGGCGGCTTCTTACAGAAACACAGCTGCCCTATCATCAAATGTCACGGCACGCCACTGATCTTTACCCATCTTGAGATATTGAACGAAATAGATGCCAATACACACGCATCCACGGAAGATTTTTTTGTTCTGTGTGTTTGTATAAGAGCTTGTGCATAAATGGCATTGATGTTATTAAATTTTGGTGGTTAAAGGTCGGGGGAGTAGGTAGCTAGAGGGGTGTCATGTGTTATATCATGGGAGGGGTCGGGCTTAATGATGTTATTCGTTATTAGCATTTACAATTTTTAATGAAACTCATCACTACTCAAAATTAAGCTTTTTGCCACTCGATAATAATTAAAAATGTAAAAAAATTTTTATAATAAAAATCTCATAACAGATGACGTCATATACAATTTTATTTATTACATTGTAATTAAAAATATAAAAGTAATTTTTTAAATGACATCTCATAGCAGAAAGGAAAGTTATGCAACTCGTTGCTACATTTATATTTTCCCAACTGTTTTGTATACAAAACAAAGGAAAATATTGGAATCCTGTCAAATTCATGGAAGATTTGCAAAAACCCCTTCGAGTATTTTGCAAATCTTCATGTTTTCAGACCTGCTAAATCCAAAAAAGCCAAAAAACGGAAAAAATTCCGTAGATGTGTGTGGGGGGCATTTATTTCGTTTAATATCCAAGGATGGGGTAAAGATTAAGAAATGAAATCTGGCATAGTAGCTTGTGTATAAGGAACATTGATGCTATTAAATTTTTATGATTAAAGATCAAAAGAGATAGAGGGGTCATGTGTTATATTTCGAGAGGGGTCAAACTTATGCAGATTTTACTCGTTACCAACATTTACAATTTCTTTTATAAAACTCGTCCCTACTCTCAAAATCAAGTTTTTTTATAATTATTATTAATATAAAAAGTTTTTATAACACAATCTCATAACAGGTAGCGCTAGACTCATATTTTATTTTTTGTCATTAATAATATAAAAATCACATATAAAATAAAATCTCATAATAGCTGGGAAAGTTATACAACTTGTTGCTGGATTTATTTTTTTATTTTTATTTTGCACAGCAATAGAAAATATTCTTATTTCGTCCTACTCTGCAAAAATTAAATTACAAAATAGACAATACAATAAGAATAAAAGAAATAAAAATAAAATAAACATATAAATATAAATATATATAACAATACATTTTTATATATATTTATATACATATAAACGAGCAGTTATTTATTGTGACATCGTAACAGTACCGGGCTGCAATTTTTAATCATATTTATAATTTATTTAATTTAAAATATATGTTCTCCACCTCAAATTAGTAGTGGCTTGCCCCTGTACATCATACTTTTCCTTTAAGAACAGTGTTGTGCCAGTCATCTATCTAACACCTTTCAGGGAAAGTTTTGAATTGAAATAACATAACTTTCGGTTTGTATCGGAAATTTTTGCATAGTTAATCAGAGCTTCTTGCCCCTAAGGTTTCAGTATCTGGTCTTGATCTGCTAA